GCATTGTACGGCCCTAGATAAAGCTGGCAAATCGTGTTTTATTGAAATTATACATCGGTGGCAGAAATAGGCAGTCGCAAACGAGAACAATTTAATACTCTGATATATCCGAGCGCTTAAACTTTACCAGGAAAGGTTCATGTTCGGTGGAAATTTATTTCAGCTGGGGCTCGCAGCAGTTGTAGGTTTCGCAGTCAAAATATTTCGGATGCTTTTTGCGGTAACAAAAGTGTGGTTTGGTGAGGTCAATATGGCCATTTCGCATTAGTGATTAAGCTTCAAATATCAAAGTGCTATGTTGTGTTAAACTGATATCAAATGCTAGTTTTGTGACAAACCAAATTTCATTGTTCTGATTGTAAATAAAATTTGTTTATCAGTGGTTACTTTAGTTCCTTTATTTAATTTTTTAAAGAAGATAAAATGAAAATTATTTATTATTGTAATTTATTCGTCTAATTGTTAAGAAATATTTTTCATGTGGCAAAAAGTAATCCATTGATGGAGGAGGAAAACATCGAATTAATTGAAAACAATACGGCACCTTAAGAAATTTGCATTCTGATTAATTAACTTCCAAAATACTCCTTCCGCCGCAGTTAGCCTCGTTTGACTTTAAGTTTTTGTTCTCAAGAACAAACTGGCAACGATCAAAGGTTTTGCCATAATTGAACCTCGCAGTAAATATTTTTTTTTAAATTTATAGTCGTCGTTTAAAAGTAAGAATGAATTAAATACATTTATGATTTTTTTAAAATTTTACAAGACTTGTAAATTCTATTTTATCTGTAACAAAATTTTTTTTTAATTAATTTCAAAGTTACAATTGAGATGCATTTAATAAAAAAGGCTTATAATCAAGCTTAAAATAAAATTAACATTTTATAAGAAAAATTAGAAAAAAAATAAGACTTTTTTAAACTAATCCTTATGTTATAATTATAATATTAGTTTTGAAAACATTTCAGTTTCTATTATCGTAGTTATTCTCACAATGACTTTATGATTTTTGTTAAGATTTAAAAAAAAAATAATATTATAAATAGTATATCCTTATAAAATAAATTGGCAATTCTTAAAAGATCTCGAGCTTCACCATCTCTTTAGAGCCAAGAAATTCTTCCTTTAAAAATGAAAAGAACCGTCTCTCGTCATCGAGTCACAAAGAGACAACAAACAGCACACGTTTCCTGCGAGAGCAAAGGCAGAAATTAATTTCCGCTCTCTTTCCAAGGGTCTTTTTCTCGTGCATGTATCAAAAGCAGCAGAGAAAATGCTCTGTGCTGTGCGTCGAGTGCAAAATCAGGCCGAAAGCCAAAAAGTCCTCTCGCTCGACGCACATGTTGTATCATTTGATCAAAGCCATAAGCCGCCTCCAGAGCTGACCGCAATGATACTAATATTATTAACTGGCGGCCACTGCTGCTCTGAGGTCACGCGGGCGTCGCCGCTTCGCACCCGTATTATGCAAATGAGGGCAGTAAAATTATACAAGGGCCGAAACTAAATTGGCGCTAGTGTGTCATAAAGCACGCGTGGTGCGCGTCAACGCATTATTACATCAGCAAATTGCCCTTAAATACTCGCAGGATTATTGTCGCAGAGTTTCTCTGTGCGAGCCAAACAGTCTCGTGCACGTACCTGGGTGAGCGATAATGAAACCGGTGTTTGCCGGCTTAATTTGGCCGCCGCCGCCGTGCACACGGTTAAGGCGGATTCTGATTACGGCTTTGCGCCAAAGCCGGCGCGGAGAGAGCAAGCGAGTGACTGTCTGTCGGGGATTTGCTCCGTTTTGTCGCGTGACTGCTGCAGATTTGCGCCCGCTTGTCACTCACTCGTCACATTTCGCTTCGGATTTTCAGCTCACTTTTATTTTTACATCTTCTCCCTGTATTGAGAGCGTTTTGTTGCTTTTTTAGTTCCGTCGTGGCTTTTTATATAGCAAAATCCGTATTTTTTTCCAATCAAAAGGCGATTATTTCCGCTTGCAGCAATAACGCTGGCGGTTTTATGGCTTCATTTTTTATGCAAATGATTAATATTTAACTTTACAGCATAACTTATATAATTGCATAAATTTTTTAAACAACTACAATGATTAATTTAAATTTTTTTTTCACGTTATTTACATTTTAAAACTAGAATAATTGAGCCATAAATTTTAATAATTAGATCGGCCACTCTAAAAAAGAAAACTGATGGTTAATTTTATTATCATTGATCTTTTCTACCCCAGTGATAAAAAAAAATGCATTGAATAAAAACAATTGTTGGAAAGGAAACAAAATTTTTGGAGAAAACGGTAGCACCACTAAAGAAAACATTGCTAAAATTTCCAAGATCATGAAGATCCAAAAATAAAATTATTTTGGTTTACTCTTCCCAAATTTAAATATTAAAATTATGAAATTATCATTTTTAAGTTGTATTGAAGGCTGTGCATACTTTGAATTACAGCAATTAAAAAAAATGTATTTTTTTTTAAATTAATTTTATTTCTGCAACAATGTATAAGGTACAAGAAAAGTATCATTTCAATGTGAAAATTTTTATACATTTTTATTCCCACCTCTTAACCTGATTGTGTTGGAAAAGAAGTTTAATAATTAATAACCCATTCAGATAATGAAAACCTCCAACCCAGACCGTAAACGTTTGAAAATACAATGTTATTCCAGGCATAATAAAATTGGGGCATAAAAAAATCAACATTAGCTAAGAAATCATTTTCCTATAAATTTGGTTGAATTGATGGTTCGCTGAGTAGTTTGGAAGACAAATTTATTATCCTATTTTCATCGTCCTGCTCTTCTATGGGAATATTTGATTTGACTTGCGATCTTGTATGCAAAGGAGAAGTTTGCATTTGAATATGTGAAAGGTTGAAACATGACCGTTGATGGTCATGTTTATCTTTGCTCTGGAGGAGTTTCCATCCAGCTGCCGCAGTGTCTACGTTTGTATTTATGTAGCACAGCAGACAAATTGCTGATGTAAGTTTGCCGCGCGTACATCAATTGCCGCGTCTTGGCCACTGGCGCTCTCTCTCTCTCTCATAATGCAATGGTGTATGATACACAAACACACTGCCCCCTGCGCTATGTACTTGTATGTTAATATCGCAGAGAGCTTTCTCGGGGCGCCCCAAGGTTTATGAGTTCAAGAAGTGACGGTGGTATTGCCGCACGCGCTTTATGACTGGTCTTCAGCGTGCTCTCGACTTTATTAGCCGACAGTTTATCTTCTCGCAGCCAAGGACGCACCCTTTCCCTTTTCAATTAATTGTTTGCTCAAATTAATATTTGCGCTGCGAGAACGAGGCGCCGCCTGCACTGCCCCCGAGGCTCGTGCTAATTAGCTCCCTTTCATATCGCTCTTGACGCTTTTAAAGAAATATGAATTTAAGAAATTTCTTGCCAACTCAATCGATGAATATAACGCAGAGCTGAAATGGCCGTATAATGTGATAAAAAAATGGTAATTTTGTAATTGGTAAAATAGCCATGCTTATAAAAAATTATTGTTAAAAAATTGAACAAAACTTTCAAATAAATTTTACATTGACAATAATTTGCACAAAAACTTATATGTTTGGTATATTTTGTTCTTTTTTAATTCGAAGATTTTTGGTAAAAATATTTTCATGATGTTTTTCAAACCTTTTGAATTTAAAAATACCCTAAAACACATTTACGTATATACATATGTGCTGATATCTGTTATTTTGCTAGAAATCCGCAGCTATTACTAACTAAATACTTTAATCTGCTTTGAAAAGAAAGTTTAGCTAAATATATTAATTAATTGCTCGTTTCTAAACCTCAAACAACACCTTCTAATCTAAAATTGACAATAAAAATATTAAAGGTTTAAGGCTTTCAAAAATTTTAAATATTTTTTACTTTTTTGAGGCTCTGTCAAATGAGCTACAGGAATTTTTTACATGATGTATCAACTTCAACGGCCTTAGATTTTCTATCAAAATATGTTTTGATATTTTTCATTATAATTTCTTTCTTCAAAACCACCTTAGATAAGAACGTTCTTCAGTATATTCGCACTCAATTTGAGACATCTCAGTCGCGGATTTATTAAAAAATCCCGCTCCCAAGTGCATGCCTAGCAAAGTTTCCTTGAAAATGATCACCCATCGTGGTCTTGGGCAAAGTACACATGCTAAAAATTCAGTATCACATGCGAAGTTTGAGGTGGCGCGGGTGCGAAAGCTCGTTAGTCGGGATGCTGCGCTTCTCTCACTCTCATATCTCGCCTCGCAATTTGGCTGACACTCGCCAAACTTTGTGATGACTGCTGCTCGACGCGCGCATTTCGCCGGCGAAAGTGGAGCTAGAACATGATCTCTCACACTTGAACTTGTTAGGCGTCAGAATTAGAGCTATCTCGCCATAGTGGAGCGGCAGGCGCGCGCGACAGAGAAAGCGAGGGGACGAAATAACCTTGGTCACATGTGAACTTTGCTTTCTCTTGGGGGTTGTCTCTAATGTCAGTGAGTGCGGTAACGTCTCAAATCGTGAGTCGTGATGTTCTTTTGAAGGAGAGAAAAGGATTCAGAGTGCAGAAAAATTTGCCACACCTTCTTTAAAGCGATTTATTTTTTGTTAGATCTTTTTGTCTGTAAATATCGTCATAGATTTCCTTTTCTCACCAACTCGATAAATTATTGAAATGGGAAAATTTCAAAAAATAAATTGTAAAGTTGTAATTAAAAAACCAAATAACAAATAAATGATAAAATGCTCATCAGGGGTTTGTGTAGTTGTTTTATTTAACAGCTAGGCAGACCATTTCAGAGGATTTAATAGAAAAAAACTGTAGACTTTGATAAATTATCGCCGAAATTTTCTTATAAAATTATATAAATTATCAAATGAAGTTTCACTTTCCTCCAACAAAAAGCTGCCTTTCCAAAAAGGAAAGAGGCAGCGGTTAAATTTATGCCTGCAAAGTGCTGATCTCGCATGTTTTGTTATTTTCCACAGGTGTCATGGATCCGCAAACGTGACTTGCACATCCTGACTGCAGGCATTTACACGTACACGAGCGACGCCCGCTTTCAGGTAAGGACAAAAAATGTTTAATTACACGCCGGCAACTTTTGCGCCGCGGCTCTTTTGAATAATTCATCAGGGAGGGCCCCGACCGCGTCTGCTGTTTGCTACGGTTTTCGCTCTTTTTTTCCTAATGTTTTCAAAAGAGCCCGCACATGCACAAAAAGCGGCGGCAGCTTTATAATCCACAGCACTGCTCCCGCACGCTGGCCATGAATTTTTATTAATTTGAAAGGAACACCGCAAAACTTTTATTGCACCCCTCTTCACCCTCCCGACTCAAAGACTCCTTTTTGTTTCGCATTAAATTTTTTCCACTTTGCAAAGACGAGATTTTCATGCTCGGCGTGCTTTTAGGTCATGAGACCGGAAAGATCGGAAAATTGGACCCTGCAAGTCAAGTTTCCGCAACAAAGAGACGCCGGCATCTACGAATGCCAAGTCAACACAGAACCGAAGCTCAGCTTGGCTTTTAGGCTCAACGTAATTGGTGAGTAAATTTACAACGTTTTGTCATTTTTTCCTTTCAGGAAATTAAATGTTTGAATTTTAAGATGTTTAAAATAAATTATTAAAAAAAAATTATATATCAGCTAAATCAGATTATATAATCAAATAAATTATTTCGGTATTTTCTTATAGTTTTTTAATTTTTTTTCAATCAAACAAATTTAAATCCAAGTTATGCAGAGCTTCTTAACTTAGATCCACAATTAATAACTTGATTAGTGAGAGTTAAGTTGATATAAATACGTGAGCGTTTATATATGTATTTTTCTTTGAAAATGTCCAAAAAGCTCACTCGAAATTCAATCAAAAACGTACGTTCCTGGCATGCTGGGAAAATAATTGCCGAAGCAAATTAGTTTGTTGTACGTGGTATGCATTGTTTGGAATTCCACTCGTGAAATTCTGCTGTACGTTATATTCGCGAGCGTGGTACATCGGATTTTGCTCATATGCGCGAGTAAATACATATATCAAAATATACGCTAACGCATGATTTGTTGGCAAACGCAAGGAAATTAAACCGCAAACACGTCGCTATCGCGATTTCAATACGCCCTTTCAACTGAGATAGATGCGTGCAAGTGCCCTAGGGGGAGAGCGCGTGTTTAAAGCCGCCGTTCTGACGTGAATTTCTTTTGAAAGAACAGTCTTGATCGGTATGAAAAGCTTTTGAACGATCTCTTTAGCAAATTCAAAGAAAAAAGAGTGGCTGAGTGATAAAAAAGGCCGCCCTGTTAATTATGCAAAGTTCTTGAAGTTTTCCACCCATTGCTGCTGCGAAAGAGGTTTTTTGTCCATAAATTGTTATTTTTATGTAAGAAAATCAACATTATTGGTAAAATTAATCTTAAAATAGATTATTTTTATGACAACCATGAGATTAATTTTTTTAAAGACTCAAGCAGGTTAAAATATAATTTATTTGGTTATAAAATATTAACTATGAAATCAAAATTCTTTAACTGGTTTTAGCTTTTAAGTTTTGAATTTACAAATTCCTCATTGAAATCAATATATTTTTTTTTAAATTTAATTCTTAAAACAACTAGATATTTATTAAATAGGGTGCTTAGCCTGTCAATCTGCTCTAGAAACTGTTTGAGTCGCACTTCCGAACCCACCACCCTTATTGGCAATTAGTTATTCAGCGGGCTTGAGGATGTTGTATTGTTTGCATATGTCGGCACCTAATTTGCGGAGATGGATATACGTGATGCGGACGCAGAGAGAAAGCTACTTTGCGTAGTGTGTGTATTCGGTGCGCCCCTTTGGCCCCGGAAACGCGTATATGCAAATGAGCACCGCCGATTTTTCTCCCCGACCGCAAAGTTCATCAAGAGAGGGCGCGGCGTCTTTCATACACTGACGGCGAGATATTAATTTGAGTAGCGAAACCACGCGAGTGTCACGCTGAATCAAAAGAGCGCGAAAGACGCATTTTCGCCTCGTTTGGTACGAGAAACTTTTTAATTAGCAGCCAAATTAAATTAAGCCGGAAAGTCTTGCAAGTTGACGGGTCTCTCTCGCCGCTTGTGTTTCTCAAAAGTCCACGGAAAATATGCCAAATTAATTCAGAGCCGGGCAAATTAAAATTTTATTACGCTAAATTGCAGCCCTTGACGACAAGAGCTGGAGCTGCTCGGATATATTTCCCGGGCGCTGAGAGATATTGCGGGTTGCATATCATTTGCATTGCAGGCGGCGGCCAAGGCAATAAAAGTGTCTTGTGCACTTCTGCCGCACTTGCATATCGCCGCCAGCTTATATTCCCTTTTTCGCCGACTGAGAGAGTTATTATTTGCATACCTGAAATAACGGTTACACGCTTCGCAGATTTTCCAAAGCTCTTTGTTTGACTTTGCTCGTAAGAGGAGATTTGCTTTGTGGGTCACGAAAAGATGTTCCTCTATTTTAATGAAAGTTTTCTTCAAAAGTGGAATAATCTTGAAAAGTTTTTTTCATTCTGTTTGGCTAATTCGCAAAAAACAAGAAATATGAATAAACAAAAAGAAGCTGTGGATTTTACTTAACTTATTCAAAAACGAAATATTATTTTTTTCCAATTTTCTAAAAATTCATGAATTCAAAACCTGGATTAATTGTGTAGTGCAAGTATGAACATTTTTTCAAAATACTTTCCAAAAAAAATAAATATTTATATTGTAAAAAATATAAAATCTATTTAGTCCTGGCAATGATAATCAAATTAGTCTTATTGAGGCCGGCAAACGGAGAAACCAGAGACAGACAATACAATATTCATCAGACAGACAATGCGGAATGATTGAGACTAGCGAGAGCACTGCGGAGAGAGCCCCGCAAGTAAAATTCCACGCATTGTCGGTGGGCACTTGCACGCGGACAGTGATGGGTAATGCATATTTCATGAATACCATGTCCACCCGGTCGGTGCCTTTTGCATAGAGAGAGATGACAATGTCATATTCAGCGGGCAGTGCAAAGAAATTTACCAGAGACAAGAACATGAGCACTTTGATTCAATATTTAGGTGTTGATTTTTTTTATTTGATTTAATATTAATGTAGTGAACCATACAAAATTTAATTACAAAAAATAGATTAATTCAATTATAAGTAAATGAATTTATAAGGACTCGGAAGACAACAAAGAGTATTTTTTCTAATCGGATGCTGATATTATGAAGTATACCACTTTTTATATTTGTTGGCAATTTTAAAAAAGGTTTAGTTTTTTTACTATGCCAAATTAAATGTATAATATTAAAATTTTAAATTAAAGTACAGAAATATTACAAAATTTAAAAAAAAACAGTAATTATTTTAGTATATTTATTATTACTTCAAATACATTATTATTAACCTTAAGTATTATCATTATTAACTCTAAATTTACAACTAGATTTTTTTAATGTTTTTATTACAATAACTGTTCTTCTTTTTCAATTGTAATAAGGAATACATAGCCTCTAAAAACATCTTATTCCTATGAAAACTGATCAATTTTATTGAATAGGTCTTCAATTTGAAACTTGTTATTAATTAATATCACTGCTGCTTATAAATTACTTTGAGCAACTTCTTATTCACAAAAACTGCCAAAAAAAATTAAATTTTAATTATTCCCTAATATATGATGATCAGAATTTTTATATTTAATGACGCTGCAGTAGGAACAAATTATTAAAAAATAGCTTTCAATCATTCATTCGTGTATTTGTAAATGAAACCATACAATTTTCGTGTGTTGCACTGCCCTCATGATCACTCCGCCGAGGCAGCGGATAACTCGATGACGATGGAGCAATGATAAACAGGGTTGCGGCAAGTATTTCACTCTCATGAGTGCTTCCTTCCCGTTTGGTGCGGCCTACGCAATAATTGCTTTCGGTGCCCACCTCTGGTACATACGATTGCGGCTGCAGGGCGGGGGCAACACAGGTCGGTCGGAATTCAATGCGACCCCTGCATGGTAATTCCGTCTCGTAAATCCAATATTGTGTCCGTCTATTACCAAAAAGGGTCGCCGTTTTATTATTATGCACCGGTCGGGAAACTTCTCTTGCGTAGTATTTTCGTTGGAAAGATTTGTACTCTCTCGGTTTGGCGGCTCCTGATCGTCAGTTTACCTACGACCCCAAGTTGCCGCCTGTTTGACGTGCAGGAAATGGAAAAGTTTGCGCCCGGCGTCAAGGATGTGTGTTTGTGCGCGAGAGAGCCACGTTAGGACGACGACAGACACCCACACGGTGTCTGCGACTCGCTTTATGGAGATGCTCGAAGATTGCCTTCGAGACTGACCCGAAATGTCGATACTGCTGAATTTTGTCAACAAAAAAAGCTAACATTCAAGCAGTGAATTGGCAAAGACTTTCCTTTGCATTCAGTTTCTACTAATTAATAATGAACTTCAGAGGTTAAATTGATTCAATCTTCCTGGCAGTAAAGCTATACAAAATTGAAGCGCTTTCTGGTTTAGCCTTTTTTTACATCTTTAAAGAGTATCAAATTTTAGCTGACCAAGAAATTGAGAATCAAATAATTAAAAACAACAGCTCATTTAAGAAGATCACATTGATTTGGGTGATGATTGAAAATCTTTTAGTATCAAATTTGTTGAGATTCGTGGAGCAATGCAATATATCTTGCATTTTACTATGTAATTGAAGTTGTAAATTCTTTTCTTCTTTGATAAACAATTTTTATTTTTTATTATGCAAGTATGGAAGTATCGCGTGCACTGATCAGCAGGTTGATTTGACTTTTTTAAATAATTTTATAGCGTGAAACTGTAACTTAAAATAATCAAAATAGTACATTTAAACAAGTGGAGACGAATTTTCAGATCTTTTTGAGCGATATACTTATTCTGAAGAACTAAATCAGGTTGCAAATTATTTTCGCTTGTTGTTTATTTTCCCTCCATAAATTAATAATTTTTTTATCGTGAATCTTTTTCATTTCATCTTACATAACATTTATCAAATTTTTGAAAAGCAAAAATGTGGATGTAATTTTTTTATCTTTAAATTTCTTTTTGAAATTCCATTTAGATATTGAGACGTTTCTGATGCCGTAAATTTCTTAGTTTTTACCTATGATAAATTATGTTAACTTATTTCTTGCATTACGATGATGATTAACTTTTGTTAAAAAAAAATCATTCAAAGTCGAATTTTTTCTTCTTTCTGCAAGCTGAATTGCGAAATGCGTTGGCTTCGTTTGCAACTTGTAATGCTTTTGAACAAAAGTGATAACTCGTTTGAAAACCCATCTGCACGACGAGAACACCTCCACCGGCTCCACCATAAAGTGTCCACATCCAGCAGAAGCTTGCGTAGTATTTTCCATCCATTCAACTGATTCTCGCCGTGCACACTGCAATTTATTCGCAATGCAAATCGCTCCAGCTGAGCTGCAATAAACATAAATTTGCCTCCGAGACGGACGGCGCAGCAAGAAGACGAACTCATAATCAGGGAAGGGTGCATAAAACGCTTGG